CACATGATCATCTCAATAGATGCAGAGAAAGCCTTTGACAAGATACAGCACCCATTTATGATAAAAACTGAATAAAATGGGTATAGAAGGAAAGTACCTCGACACAATAAAGGCCATATATGACAAACCCACAGCAAATATCATACTCAATGGTGAAAAACTGAAAGCTATCCCTTTAAGAACATGAAGCAGACAAGGATGCCCACTTTCACCACTCGTATTTAACATAGTATTGGAAGTCCTTGCCAGAGCAAGCAGGCAAGAAAAGGAAATAAAAAAGCAAACAAATCTCAATAGAAGAGTGACAGCGTCTTGTTTACATGAGAGCGTGTGAAATGGGAGACATAGGTGTGGGCATATGTGAGGATATCTTTGCAAAATAAAATGTTATGTCCAATAAAAAAAAATGTCATTGCTCTGGACCACCCAGTTCAATTTAACTAGAATCTCTGTGGTTGGATCCAAGCACTAACATATTTTTTAAAAATCTTCTCAAATGATTCTAACATGCAGGCATGGTTGGGAACCACTGATCTAAACACGTGTAACTCTGTGTTTATTTTCTCTTTTATCCAAACTTAAAGTTGTGCTGCTGAGAATTAAGGCTAAGGCCTTTCTCCGCATGTTTCCTTTTGAGCAATAGTATCACAACAGGCCCCATGGAAGCCATTGTGTGAGGACAACAGTGGCTCCAAGAGACTTCCAGTGGCTGTGACTTTGGAGAAAGGAGATGGAGGCTGAGATCAATTTCAGGGTCTGTCCACCCTTCCATGGCCAATCTTAGGAGCTAAGAATTTCCTCTTACTGGCCACTACTAACCTGGGAGGGCTAGGGTTTGTCAGATTAAGAGTTTCAGCAGGTTACCTTATAGCCTATCACAGTTTTCTATAATCTCTGGATTTCTCATTCAGAGTTTGGGGCCAAAACGCCTATTCATTGGTTTGAATCTTAGACCTGCCATTTATCGACATGGGGAAGACACCGCTTCCAATCTGCAGTTTCTTTCTCCATAAAGTGGGGATAATGGTGCCTCCTGGAGGCTCAGTGAGATTAACAGATTTGTTCTCACCCTGTTGGTAAGTGGGATAATAGGATTTGAACCCAATCAAAGCCTGCATTCTTAACCACAAGAGATCACTAGACCCCAAGTCTGGTGGTTTCTACCCCATCAGTCAGCCCATAAGCGCCAGATGGGTTAGGACCGGAAGGAATGTGGGAGCACACTATGAGCTTTGAGACTAATTAGAATAGCTTTCATTGAGCTGGAGGGAATAAAGAGATGTGAAGTCTCAGGGTGCAGAGTTGAGCCCACTCCCTTATCACCTCCACAGCCCCCTGCAGGGACTCTTGGGGCCTGGCTGAGGGCAGACAGGGTGCCCTTACCTGGTAGTACATGAAGAGGCCTATGGGCCTGGTGGGCTTGATCCTGATGCCAATGTTTCCTTCAGTGTTGGGCGGTAGGACACTGCCCTTGTCGTCAATGATCTAGAGCAAAAGCCCTGTGAATACCGAGCTACAGGGATCCCCCAACACTCCTGCCCCACCCCAGCACTGCTGGCGTATTCATGTGACACCAGCGGGGATACCTGGGGGAGGAGCCCTGTCAGAAAATAGAATAAAGTGTCAAAAGTCTTTGAAATCAGCAGATGGTGAAACCCAAGTCACGGGTCTATTTGTTTCATGGATATATAGACATCGTAAACGTGCCTTCAGGTTAGAAAACATGGGTCAGGAGAAACTGAAAGCACCAGCTGCTGGAGAGAGCTGCCAGTGCTGCCTCCAGGGCCTCTTTTCCCATCCACTCTGGGGGCCTCTAGCTGTCAGGGTGAACTGCATCCATTCTTGGAATACTGCAGTTCTCAAATGAAACCTCCACAGGAAACTGGAGGAAAAACGGGAGGAGAGGAGGAAGGACAACTGGTGGGCACCGCTGGTGTCACACAACGGTCCACGCTGAGCCCTAACTGCTCCCTGCCACTGCCTTTAGGATCAGACCTGGACGTCGAAGGGTGGGATGGCCTTCCCCATGGAACCCGGCTTGATCGTCACTCCCCGGAGGTTGCCACAAGTTATTCCCTGTTCACAAAAGAAAGAGAATTGGGGCTGACCAAAGAGTCCAGCCTGATCACAAAGTACCAAGAATAACACAGGGCATCCCTGCTCACGGATGTCATTTGATGTTGCACAAAGAGCCCTTGTGGGGAAGATAGAAGGTCTGGATGCTTGGCTCAAGGCACTGACCCAACTCTATTCAGCAGACGTTCACTGTGCCTGTCACGGGCTGGGCCTGTGCCAGCTGCTGGGGCTGCAGGGTCCAGTGGGGGAGGCCGAGAGAGAAGCAAAGGGGTGAGCCCGGGGCTGTGGGCATGTAACGTGGGGTGTGGAGTGTCTGCCTTTTGCCAGGCATGTGTCTGTCCGCCAGGGGAAGGCCATGAGTCCGCTTAACAAACATTTTCTCAGGGCTGTTGAACAGCAATAGCAATCTTGCCCTAATTACTTCTCAGAGCTGTGTTGAGATTATTCAGATTGGTCATGGTGTCCCCTCTGCCACCACTGCCCCACCCCCATTTATCCTCCTGATGAACCTTATTCCTCCTTTATGGTTCTCTAAAATATCATTCTTTCTAAAGCTAACTGCTTTACAGTCAGATCAGCATTTGAATCTTGACTCCACCACTCACTAGCTGTGTGCCAATCAATCCCCCTGGATCTCCTCCTCTGTCAAAGGGGGTAATTATCACACTGACCTCTCAGAGTGCCTGTGAGTGTACAGGAAACCCTTTACACAGTGCTGGGCACACACCAAGTTAGCTCAATAAATGACTACTACTAGCTATTACTCAGGCCCCAGAAAAGTCAGGGGGAGATTCTCCTTCTGTAGTATTTTCCGCCATACATCTATTGTAGCCAGCTGGGCATTACAGCTACTCTTGCTCGTCTGTTCCCTCAGAGGATAGCGAGCATTCTGAGAATAGAGATTGTCCCATCCATCTCTGCACTCCCAGCATCTAGCACAGCACCTACCTACAAACAGCAAAGACAACAGTAGCTGCAACGTGAGCACGTCTAGGGGTTGGACACCGGCCAGTGCTTTATACACTTCCTTTCAATGACTTGATCACAACCCAGCAAGACAGGCATTGTGGTTTCCATTTTGGAGATGGGGAGGCTGAGATTCTGGAAGGGTCAATGACATGCTATGTCTTGAAGCCTGTAATTGGCAAGGCTGAGACTTGAACTGGGGTCTGAGCTCCTGGGAGAGGAAGCTCTTGCCCCTCTGCTGTGTCGCTGCTCAACTACAGGCACATGGAAAATGTTGCACAGATGAGTGAGTAGGTGTGACAGTGCTTGGAGAAATAAAGCACCACACGGGTGTAAGGGAGTATTCTGTTGTTGCAAATAGTTAATGCAAAGGGACTGGGGCCATGAGTGTCGTGTAGTTCATGGGTGAGTGCAGTTCTCACCCCACCATTCTCCTTGTTCAAATATAAACTGAGCCATGCAAGGACAGGCCCAAGTCTTAATATTTCTCAGGCCTGGAAGCAGACCAATTCACTCATTATTTAAAATTTTTTTGCAAAAAATTTACAGACAAGTATGTGAATTGAGACTAGAATGCCATTTTGCTACAGGTCCTGAGATGGCAGTCATCCCTCTGTCAGCCAAAGGGATGATGGGGAGTGGGGGGTGGGGCTCTGTCCAGCCTCAGAAGTGGATGGAGAATGTATTGGAAGAGAGATACCCGTCCACACTGTCATTGATAAAGTCCTTGAGGTTCAAGACAGGCATGATTCTCTGGACGCCCTGCCCACCTGGCTGCTCAGTGATGCTCTGTGGGATCACACTTTGTGAGTGCGTGTTTGTGTTTGCACACGTGCACACACAGAAGGTCTCTGCTCCCTCCTCCACTCCTGCTAGTGTCCCACAATCAAACCTGTGTGCTGTCCTCATACACACCCAGAAATGAACTTCTGGGGCCAGCTCTGCCTGCACCTGTGGTTGCTGCCTTAGGATGGGATGGTGAAGAGGGCAGGACATGTGGGTGGTGGCTTCCATGTTGCTGGAGAGACCCTCCTATCCCCTTGCCCCTCTTGGGCTCCCCTGAGCTAATCATCACAGGGATAGTGGCACCAAGTCCTTAGACCTCCCCCTTTTTATTTTTTTTGTGAGGAAGATCGGCCCTGAGCTAACATCTGCCAATCCTCCTCTTTTTGCTGAGGAAGACCGGCTCTGGGCTAACATACGCGCCCATCTTCCTCCACTTTATATGGGACGCCGCCACAGCATGGGTTGCCAAGCTGTGCGTTGGTGTGCGCCTGGGATCCGAACTGGCAAACCCCGGGCCGCCGCAGTGGAGCACACGTACTTAACCGCTTGCACCACCGGGCCGGCCCCCTTAGACCCCTTTTTAAGTTTTTGTCCAATGGTTTTCAGCACATTGGTCTCTTGACAAATCGAGGAGCTGTGAATTGTCTTTCTGCAAGTTGACTTGGGGCAAATTAGCCTAGAACCTGGAGCCTCCCATTGGCTTCCATCAATGCTGGGGGGCCTCCGCACACACTTTTGGCATGATTCGGCTCATCTGCTGGGCTCGGTGGCTGAGCACATCCTGCCTGGCCCAGAAGGGACCATCCACCTACCGTCTCTGACTGTCCGTAGACCTGGTGGAGCAGAACCCCTGTCTGTCTTCTCCACTGCTCTTGGTCTTTTGGCAGCAGGGCCTCCCCGCCAGCACAGCTGTGCTCCAGGGTGGGGAACCTGAGACTTAGGGGAAGGCAAGGTGTCAACAGAGCCTCGGGTCAGGCCTTGGACCCTCTGCCCCACGCCCAGGGTGCTAAGAGCTCACAGTGTTGTCATCCAGATCCTTCACCCTTCTGCTTCCTCACTTTCTTATTTGCCTTCTGGGCAACTTACTGATGGTCAAGGCCATCAGGTGAGTGGACGTCACTCACTTCCTGTCAGTCCCTGTTAACTCTTCTGGCAGAGGGTGGGTGGTGGTGGTGAGGCTACTGGGTTAAATCAAGGAGGTTCACATTAAATTTGGATATTGATGTAACAAGAGGGTGAAAAATGTGTTTATCAGACCTTGTCTTAAGAAGCATTCTATGTGGCTAAGAGAGATATTTTCATAAACCATAAAGGGGTGAGGGATAAGGCCCCAGGGACATGCTAGGATGGCAATAGAACTATACTGCCTTCTCTGGAGAGTGGGGTTATGTGAACTGAAGGGCTTTTGTGTTCCTGAGGGGAGAATGCAAGTTAGGGGTTGGAAATGAATTGCTCAGGACATCAAGGAAGGTTGGGCTGAGTGTAGGAAGAGGGAGGAGGAGGGACATAAGTAACAGCCCCGAGGGAAGAAAATTTGGAGAGAACAGAAAAGTCTGCTGTAAACATTTGCAGCAGTTTGCTAGGTACATTGTGTGATGTAAATCCTATCCGTATTTTCACCACGAAATTTTCCATAAACAATACAGAAACAAGCACAAAATAATGATGGATCCCCTGGAGGAAATGGGAGAAGTGATTGAGGTCTGAGTAGTGCTGGCATGGGGATGGGCCGGGCCAGCTCTTGAGAATGAAGGAGGTGGCAGATGTCTGGTTCACCTTTCCACCCTTGTCACCCTCTCCTGGTACATAGAGTCAGGAGTGATGGACAGGAGGGCTGGTCTCATTGAAGGTGTCCTCCTCATTCTTCTGAATCTTTATCCAAGCAGATAACGTGGGCAGAGTCTCTGATGGAGTCATTAGTTATGCCCTGGGTAGATTTTTACTGGGTTTGGACGAAGGTGATCATCTGAGGAATGTTGCAAAAAGTGGCTGTAATGTGAACTTTGAAATATAGATGGAAACAGAATCCAGCGAGATTGAGGCTTCATGAATAAAATCAAGTTGTGTTTCAGAGTTAGCTTTGTAAGGTCAGTCGTTGAACTCCTTGGTATTTTAACTCATGTCTAAAACACGCTAGCTCTGATTCTTTTTTTTTTTGGAATGTGTTTCCCTTTATTTATTTTCCTGTGCACTTCTATTTATGCTTTATTTTTGAGCCAATACATGTTTAATTATTTTTTTTAAATTTTTTGTTTATTGCAGTAACATTGTATAAATTTCAGGTGTGCATCATTATACTTCTATTTCTGCATGGATTACATCATGTTCACCACCCAAATACTAATTACAACCCGTCACCACACACATGTGCCAAATTATCCCTTTCGTCCTCCTCCCTCCCCCCTTCCCCTCTGGTAACCACCAATCCAATTTCTCTGATTCTTGAAGTAGCTATTTCAATTTCATAGTCTCTAAAAGATGCATAAATGCCCATAAGGTTCAAAGAGCAGATTTCAGTTCAGCTAAAAATTAATCCACAAACACAGCAAAATGCAAAAATAAAACCATAGTAAGATAACACTACACATCCATCAGATTAGCAAAAATTTAAAACTCTGACAATAACAAATATTGCCAAGGATGCAGAACAATGGCAATTCTCCTACCCTGCTGGTGGGAGCATAAATTGGTTCAATACTTTGGAAAATAGGGTGGTAGGGTGCAGTGTTAATGTGACCTAGCAATTTCTCTCCCGGAAAAACTCTACAAAAATGTGTGCTTAGATGTCCCAGGGTGCATATGCAAGAATTCAGTGCAGCATTAATCAGCAATAGCCCAAACTGTAAACTACCCAAATGTCTATTAATGGTAGAACTGATAAAAAATGTAGTATTTTCATAAAATGGAATATTATACAGCAATGAAAATTAATTATAGCAATATGCAGAAACATGGACACATCTTAGAAACAGAATGTTGAAAAAAGAAGGCAGGTGTTACAGAATGATGTGATTACATAAAGCTCAAAAGTAAGTAAAATAGAATAATTTGTTTAGGGATAGTTCCTTACAAGGTTAGCTATAAGGGAAGGGAAAGAAGGAAACAGTATAAAAATCAAGATACTGGATTCCTTTAGGGGAGATAGAAAGGCATGAGGATGTCTCTGGGATGCTGGCAATATTCTATTTTTGTGACTTGGGTGATTAGTTATATAGGTGTTTTATTTTCAATAATTAATTAATCTGTAAATTTGTCATATATTTTTCTGTATGTTTATTATTTCACAATAAAAATGTTTAAAAAAGAATAAACCCACAATGATGCAAGCCTCACTGAGTGTTTCACTCAGATTTCTGAGTCCCAATTTAATGAACTAATTAGACTGATAATCCTGATAATTATCAACACCACTTACCACATGCACACACACACGTGTGCACACCCCCCCCACACACACTACCCTCAAAGAATCAGAGCTAAAAACAGGCAGACCACAGTGCATTGGATTCCTTAAAATCCTACCCAAAGATGGTTATTACCAGCCACAGCCACTTCTGCCATACCTGGTTAAATTCTGCTGCAGAATCATTCGAAAAACAGATGGTGCAGCAAGGCACTGGGTGATGGGGTATTTGAAGAGCATCTAGAAAGTGAAGAGAGAAGGAATTTTATTTTTATAGTTAATATTAAAAATATCAGCCAATTATTAGCATTTTAATTCTGATCCCTCCTCTAGGAAAGCCCATTTATTCATTTGTTAAGTCTTTAAATATATATATATATATATATATATAGAGAGAGAGAGAGAGAGAGAGAGAGAGAAAGAGAGAGAGCATGAATTTTCTACATGGCATTTGTCAGGTACTGCTGGGGGACAAAAGAAGAGTAAGATAAAGTCCAACTCTTATGGAGAGTAGGTACTAATAGAGCAGATAAAACAGGACTCAAATGATAAGGCAGAAGTTGGGAGATGTCATAAGACAGATTTGAAGAAAGTTCTGAGAGAACATAGCAGAGGGAAACATTCCTTCTGAAGAGCTGGTCCAGGAGCATCAATGGAACAGGTGGCGTTTAGTTGGGGCATTTAACAAATGGCTACAATGTCTACAGGCAAGGGATGGGGGAGTTTCTTGAAGATAGAAGGAATAGTTTCAGGAGCTGAAGAAACATTGAAGCAAACTTAAATAATATGATTTATTTAGACACATAGGAGAGGAAAAAGAAGTAAATTTAAGAAGATTGGGGGTTTGGAGCAGATTATTTAGGGTCTAAAATGTCTGGTTTTCAACATTGTTTAGCTAGAGATGAGAGTCCTTGAGAATTTCGGATCAGGGTGGAGATATGCTGGGAGAACCAGGAACACTAAAGGGAAGAGAATGTGGGTTTGGGGGCCTGCCTGGCCTGAATTCAAATTTTGTTCTTCATTTCTCTGCAACTCTGTTTCCTCATCTGTAAAGTGGGAATATCCACATCTCCCATATAGAACCATGATGGGCACTTAGGGGAGGTCTGCCTCCACCCTCTGTCCCTCTCTTTCTGAGTCTAAATCTCTGGATTCTACTTCTGTAACATCTAACATTCATGTTCTCTCTCTCTCTCTCTTTTTTTTTGTGAGGAAGATCAGCTCTGAGCTAACATCCATGCTAATCCTCCTCTTTTTGCTGAGGAAGACTGGCTCTGAGCTAACATCTATTGCCAATCCTTCTCCTTTTTTTCCCCAAAGCCCCAGTAGATAGTTGTATGTCATAGTTGCACATCCTTCTAGTTGCTGTATGTGGGACGCCACCTCAGCATGGCTGGAGAAGCGGTGCATCAGCGCGTGCCGGGGATCTGAACCTGGGCCGCCAGTAGTGGAGAGCGTGCACTTAATCGCTGAGCCACGGGGCCAGCCCCACATATTCTCTTTTTAAAAAAATTTAGATCTATCCTCACCCGTAGTCTCACTGCTCCACCCACAAAGGGTACCTCTCCATGCCCTGGTTCTACTCCACTCCAGCCACGTTGGTGTCTGTAACCCCAACCCAGGCATAGAGCATTGGATCTGTGACCTGGTGACAGACAACTGACTTAAACTGGGCCACTCAGCTTCTAGTTGGTCTGCCCTGGTCATCTGGAAAGGGAGAATATCAACCTAGGAAAGCTGTGGCCGCCATGTTTGGTTCAGCGCATGTCCAGAAGCAAAAGTATGTCAGCAGATAGAAAGAAGGGAGCAGATAGAGAAAAGCAGGGAGGAGACGCAGAAGCTGCCTCGATTCCCGGTGTCTTTCTGGTTCCTGTTCCAGACCCTTGTCAGGCTCAGCCTCTACTCCTCTCTTCCAGCATCATGGCATGTCCCAATGTCCTCCCTCCGTATGTTCCTTTTGCCATTAAGCTACTTTGAAGTGAGTTTCTGGTACTTGCACCCATGGGAGTGTTGCTTCGTCCATAAGGATCAGAGATAGTGGGTGTTAGGGGTCTTGCCCAGTGCCTGGTGCTTACTAAGTCCTCACCAAAACTTGGCTCTGGTTGTTATTGTCTAAGTTGTAATTTATGACTCATCTTGGTGCTTTGCAGTTTTGGTAGGGGTGTGGAGCAGGGAACAGGGGCTCTTGCAACAGATGTGGCAAGAAAGTCCAAGTTGAGGGGGTGGGCAGAAAGGAAACGGAGGGGAAGTTTTGTTTTGTGAATTTGAATTGTAAATTTTTAATTTAACATTTTTTGTTTTAGTCAATATCTCCCATCTTTCATAAGAGGGACTCAATAAATTAAAATTAAACCAAATTAAAATTTTATTATCAAAAATTCACAAAAGTAATAAGTGGAAAATAAATCAAAATAACTAAACTTTCTTTTTTT